ATCAATAAACTAAAAATATTACATTTCACTATTTTATTTCTTATAAACAAATTTTGAACACAATCAAAAATTATAATTTAGTGCAACATACCCTTTTCTACAGGGAGAGGAGGGAGTTAATTGCTCCATGTCAGGAGGACTCCTCATCCCTTAAATTGCAAGTGGGTGGCATTTTTTTGTTTTTTAAAACTCATATTAAATTTAATTTAATTTCACAGCATCCACACGATGTTGTTGGACTGTTCCAGTCCCCAACTTCCTTATGGAAGTTTGGCGAAATATTAGTCTTTTAATTGTATCCTGGTTTAATTTTTATTTTATTTAATAGTTTAACTATAAATTTTGAAAGTGTAATGTTGATTTTTAAGCTTATAGTAAAGAGTAATGAGTGAATGAATGCATGTTTCTATCCTGCATGATATCAGATGACAATTTCTTTTTATTGTGATCATGATTTCTTTTTATTATTCACTAAATAATTATAGTTCTACAAATCTGTTATGGGATGTATCAACTTCCAGAATCATATTGAAAGAAAATGTTAATGGATCTAATTTTGAGTACAGAAAGACAGGTTGGTCACCAAATAAGTGATTCACTATATATCATTTCAGATTTTTTAATTACATTTAAAATTTACATTATCTAATACTAAAATGGCTTAACATAATTTGTTACAATCATTTTATATATGTGGCATAAAGCAACTTAAAATCTTAATTTTTTACTTTTTTCTTGTTTTAAAAACATGTAAAAATTGATTTTATTTGAAAATATTAAAGCCACAAAATAATAATGTCATCTAAAAGAGAAGATTAATAAAAATGTAAATTTTTAATAGTTATATGATGCTGATTAATGTGTAAATAAGTTTTGGAAAATTATTGGAATTTATTTTAAATAAAGTTAAGAAAAATATTTATTTTCATATGTTGTTTTAATTATAATAATACAAAGGAACAGAATGAACTATATTAGAAGCTTAGTCTCTTTCCAATTATGTTATTTGACATTGGTTTCCATAAAAAAGAGTAGAGAATGTTGGAGGGTTTTTTTTTTAATTTTTACTATAAATAAGCAAAAATATAAGTTCTAATTTTCTTCACATTTTTTAATGCAATTGAATGCTTGAAATTATTTGTTCAAAGTACAGTATTATTTAAATTTTAAAATATTTAAGACTTTTAAATGTAAATCATATTTTCTATAAACATTTAAAAAGTTACCACCACATTATATTTCATTGTCAAATAATCAAAATAATTTGTAGTAAAAAATTATTATTTCTATAAAAGTAATAAAATTTGAAATATTAGTCTATAAACACTGAAAAGTATATTAAAAAATAGAATGATTATTTCAAAATTTGCGTCTGTTCAGAATTTGAAAAAATTAAAATGTATTTCTTAATAATTCTGAAAATTAAATTCAAAACAATATGATCATTTGTATCATTTGTAAAGAACTTTTAATATAAAATATAAATCATAATTTCATTTATTATTTGAATATTTTATGTATCTTGCTAACTGCTTTATCATTAACTACATGTTGAGATGATATAATTCATTATGTAGCTAATAATTCCTCTTCTGTTACAAACATTATGTAATTTAAAAATTTATTTTATGTTTCTGCAACTTTCACCTTCTGTGATTTTAAAGTAGATGCAGCTTTATTGATTAATCTAATAAATTCTAAAACCTATTAACATAGCAATTAATCAGAAGAATATAATATATTGATGATAAAAAATGTAAAAGATACTATAGTTATTAGTTTATGCTTTAGTTTAGATTTGCACATTATAAATTTATTACAGGAAAATAGTGAAATACACCTACAGAAAAACTCTTACAAAGAATAAAATATGGAAAAATAGTCAACATTGCTGGTTTTGAATGCAGTTTTTCAATTCAAGAAAAATTTTTATTGCATTCTGAAATATTAGGATTTTTAATGATATTTCAAGAATAAGAGGGCATTAAGACTATAAATAATTGCCACACTTTCTAAGATATACTGTATATAGTTTTTTAAATGAATATTTTCAATACTTGCTTTTCATTGCTTCTATATCAACATAAAGCTGAAATTAGAAAATTTAGTTTACAAATTCATTTTAAAGTAAGTTTTATAGAAAAATAATAATTAAAATTTATTTGAATAAATATAAGTTTTAATTAACAGATGAATTTATATAATAAGAGTATGAATAAATTTATAACAAAAGAAAATATAAAATTAAAATGTTTTAATACTAAGATTATCATACCAAGAAGATTTTTAGAAGGCTGCTAGGAGATTTAATAAAATTAAGATAAAATTTTTTCAAATTTTATGTTCATGTTTTATTATGGTAAAAGTCTTACATCTTCATTTTGAGATCAAAATGAAAAGGACTGGAATTGTTTAGATTTATGATGCTAACATTATTTAAAATTTTTCCAACACTTAAACTAGTATCAGAATTGATTAGAATCTTAATACAATGATAAGTTTCCCCCATTCTTATTATTCATAAACATTTAATATCTGAAGTTTCTTGTATTTTATTTAGGAAGATATAGCCACTGGTTAGAAGAGCTTTACACAGCTTAGATCAGTGTTTTCAACTGGCAGGTTAAGAAAAAACGTTTCATGGCTCTTGATATCATTAAATTACAGGCATTAACCATAACAATAACAATAAAACTACAGAAAGCACTTAATAAATAAACTATTTGATTTGAATACAAACTTCACAATAGCAATAATTTTCATTTCTCAGAAAAAATATCTCTTCAATAATTAATTAATTTCAGGATAAAAAGCAGAGACAGATCAGATAAGGTTGTAGCTGAAATAATTGCTGAGCACAAATAGGGTAAAAATTAAGTAAGTTGTTTCCAAGTAAAGCTGACCTATAACATTGTCAGATAATAAAACTTGAACATTATAAATTAAACATATGATATGACTGTACGAATATATACAATCAATCACATCATTGTTCTGAAAACCTTTCAGAGTATATCAACTTTTGAATGATTTCAGTAATATTTATGTGGTCATCATTATCTGTACTTAGATAGTACACATGATTAGACATTGCCCACGGGATTTTTTTAATGGTATTAGGGGCATACAAATTTGTTATTACAAGCCTGCTTGTTTGTCATTTTTTGTCGCATATTTGAGCATATTCGATTGGTGTTGAAAATTTAGTAAGGCTTAGATTAAGAGAAGGTCTGTTAGCAATTTTTTCAACTAAATAGATTAATTCTTTTAATCTTCTGCATAACAATTAGAATCACAATAATTTTAAAAGTATAGTTAAGTTTGAATAATGATTTTGTGAAATCTTAAAAAATAAAATAAAAATAAAAAACATAATATGTTGATGCCAAATTATAATTATTAAAAGTTGTATCTACATTGAAAATACAGAGTTGGATTTTTTGCAAATTATAATGAAAGAATAGTTATTAGATTTAAATATTCTTAAACTTGCAATTATTTTCCATTTAGACTTAGAAATTGTGCTATACAAAATACCTTACAATCAAATTTCTCAATATATCTTTATATTTTTAAGATTCTATATAATCAATATTTTTAACATATTACTAATAAGGATTAGTAATTTTTAACCTACATTAATGAAAAATTTGCAGTTAACAGTAATTGATATTTCATCAATGATGATTTTAAGTTTTAATTATAATGGGATGTTCTGTGTTTACAAATACTGTGTGTTAATTTATTGCCCATTTTCACTATAAGATTGAGATCCAAAAATATTACATATATTATTTTATGATACGAAAGTTTTGGAACATGTTAGACACGATCACTAATCACTTTGTTAGCTATTCTTTAGACACAGATTCAGATGTGTCTAAAGAATATGTTAAGAGATTCAAACTACAATCTAAACAGAAAGGTAAGTAAATTTATTATATCAAAAAATTTTTAATTAGAATTCAAAGAAATTATTTTATGTTTCGTTCAAGATTCCCTTTTGCTTTTTAACTTACCAAAACAAAAAATTCTGTTTTTGTAAATAAAAGACGGATGCATTACGTGTATCAAATTTCGTCATTTAATTAGCATATAAATTGAAGGATGTTTCGTATAAGCCACTGGAACAGCTGCTCCTGGGAGTCTCTCCAGCTTGATAACAAACATTGGAAAGGAACTGAAAGATGAAAGTATTTTTACAGAAATAAATATGATAGTTGTTTAATCTGTTGAATGAATGAGTCCATAGGTGCATAAATATTTCATCACTTATTAAAATAATAATGGTTAAAAATCATGTGATGTGTAACAATGAATTCGAAAGAGAAAAGAACAGTAATTGAATATTTACATATGAATGGGATTGCAAATACCTATTTGTAATAAAGAATTAGCGCATGATTATATGTTATGAAAAAAAAATTACTTAAAATATAAGCTTATTTTCACATAGATATAAAAATGTAATGAAGTGTGTATAATTCTATGCTGTCTCTGTCTAACAAGTATTTCACATCGAAATATTTCGTCTGTTAAAGTGACATGATTTAATGGATAATAAAGAATTTTTAAAAATGAAATTTCTTATTTGTGTTTGTTGTATTATTATTTATTTTATGAGAAACAACACACACTTTATTAAAAATTGCTTTATCAATCCTTAACAATCTCGCAACAGCTTCTACAAGAGAAAATACTTCAGTTACAAGAATGTTTTCCATAAGTATTAAGGTAAATTTTTTTTCTGAAAAAAGTGTGCAACGCACATTGTTTATTCAATAAAATGTTCACTTATTGATATACACTAAACACATCCACCGTTTTGCAAATAATAAATATTTTTGGATAGCCTATCATTTTCTCATTTTTCTGAATGTTTGATTCTTTCGCTCTTTTATTAGTCCAGAAAAATTAGAATTTTGTGTTGCTGATTATAATTAGATCCATCTATTTTACAATTTAGTTTTATTGTCTGTAGGATGCAATGAAGTTGTAAGCACCATCAGAAAGGTTGTGAGGCGTTGTATTATCATGAAGCGAAACCTTTACTTCCTTACTTCGGATGCTAATAAACGTCTTAAAGAACATATGACAGAGAAAAAAAGGACAGTGTTGTCCGGCTTTGTCTAGAATGGAGCAAAGGGAAGGATCAGTGGTAGAATGGAGGAAGCCAACGTTATAAAACCGATACATTAAGGATGAATTTGTTGAAATTTATAGAAGGGCAATGTATAAACTATCTTCAATCAGGATGTCACGGAGTGGAAATATATGCACTCTAATAAGTTTTTTTTTAATTGTATGGACATAATCGAAATCTGTGGAAAAGGCTGAAAACGTTAGTTTGTTTTCAATAAATTATCTCGGCAACATAAGGTGTGTTTTGATAAACCAATAAAAATTGACATTGTGAATGTAATTTTTCTATCTATTTTATTATTTTGTTATTTTAAATTGTGTATATATTACTGAAATTTATTCTTTGGATTCAAATAGCTCAATATTCCAAAGAATTTTGTACTTTAAATGTGTTCTTAACTGGCTTATACAAAAAGAACAGTTATCAATGCACCATGATTTTTTAAAAACCTGAACATGGCCTGTAGAACAGGTTGAAAACGTTCGTTTCAGTTAGTTAAATAATTCTCAGTGAGATAAGGTGTTGTGAAGAAGCATTCTAGCTGGGTATTAAGTATTAAAATGGCGACACCGGCCAATATTTTATAGGAAGTATAGAAAACTGTCTCCGAAGATTGAACCAGAATATTACAAAGACAAGTTGCAAACTGGATTTCTTGAATAAGTAAGAAGAATGAAAGTTTTCCGATGTCAACCCATCGAATCAATGTACCGGATGAAAATAGAGCGTTGAGGTGGAAGATAAAAAAGTTTTGTTTATTTAAGTCCATTCGATATACCAAAAATATGAAGTATAAAGCATTAAATGAGCTAAAAGCTAGAAAATGAAATGCATTTTGAAGACCCGAATAGCCTGATGAGAATTAACTTAGGTGTGATTAACTTTTCAAGTGCAAAGTAATTTGAAGAAGAAATACAAGAAAGTTAGTCTGGATTTGTACCAAGGAAGCAATCATCATTTATATTGCGGGACTGCATCAATATCCCAGATGACATTAGGAAACTCCTTGAAAAATGCCTCAATTTTGCACGTAATAAGTATTGGCAAGACACGATATCTGAAATAGAAAAAGGAGTCGCAGGACTTGATGAGGTAAAAAGACTATTTTAGACGGAAGGCAGAACTTAGAAATCAAAGGCACAAAAAAGAAGGGGCTGAAATGAAGGAGATTAAATTATTCTTTGCTAACCATTATTTCGTGCCTATACGCTTATCCGCTCTTGTTAAGACTAAACATCTATAGTTACAATTAGACGATATTAGTTTATAATTATAAATTATACAAGTGCAATGGTAAAATTGCTTTAGTTTGTTTGTTTGGTTTAGTTATGGCAACGCAACACTTGGGTGATCTGCCTAGGGGGATGCCTTCCGGGAGATCTTTTTAAGGGAAACTGGCCCCTATTCAGGCGTCGTTACAGACGTGGAGAAACCCAGAAAACTCCACGTGGTCAGCCTGTCCTGATCCAAGACCGATCTCCCAGTGTTTAGGGAACGGAACCTAGCCACTGGTGGGCCAAAATTGCTTTAGCATAATTGTTTTTCAAATTTCGTGGTCCCCGAGGTAGGTGAGTCCAGTACCGGATTGCACGAGGCACGTGCCTGGGTTTCCATTATACATTTTGTTCGAAAAATATGCATAAATAATATTTAGAAAACAACCAGAATATTACAAATACTAAAACAAAAATACACAGTACGGGGGAAAAGTATAGAAATATCATCCAAAATACTAACATGTTCAGTACATAAAATTCAAACCATTTTTGTATATTTGAATCTCCGTTTCTCGGGTCCCCCATTTCTAGTCATTAGGCTTATGTATGATTAATCTGTCATTGCGTATAGGATTTGCATTTTTATTGGTTTATTAATCTTTCAAAACCTTTTTTAAAATTCCAAATTTATGAGCATACGTATTGAAAGAAGTTGAAAAAATAAGTCAGCCGAATGTCCGAGTGGTCACATTCCGGAATCAAGCATTGTCTGCCGAACATAACACTCAGTCGATGACAAGTCCGTGGTCACATCCGGGTGCAGAGAGGATATAAGTTGTTGAAAATTGAAGAGGATTCCCCCTAGACCAAAGGAAATCGCAGATACCACGGTCTCTACTCGGGTGGCGCTCTCGGATTCTTCTCCGTTCCGACTTTAGGAAGACAACGAAGTCCCCGTCGCCAACGAAGAGGCAGGACTCGAGAAACGAGGGCGTGACAACGAACTCCGAGAAGAGGTCGGACGAAGATATCCTCCACAACAAGGTCTCTGGTTGGCTGAGTCCTGACGACCTCGACCAAGTGGAATGGATTCAGAACTTCCCACCTCCGGGAGAGTCCGGCGCCTTATGCACTTGGGGAAGGTCGTAACCCGCTGCCTGTTGCTCTACGGTCTATTTCAACACCGAACTAATCGATTGGACACACATAGTCGAGCACCGGATCCTCGAAGAAGAAGGTGGCGTGTCTGAGGAACTCCCTCCGGCACCACCGCGTTCTTCTATCGGAACCGACGAGGTTCCGATAGAAGCATTATAGCCATTGGAACATCCTCATTCTTTCAAAAAGAAAATTTACAATTCGTCGAACGAAAGCAGAAAACTTAAATTACGTCAACGAGAAAAAGAAAATGCTCGCCGCAGTTCCATAATTAAATCTTAAAGATTCGAATCGAAAGCGAAAATGGCCGAGATGTCTTCTGGGACCGATTCTCCGAGGAATATTAAACAAATTCTTACGTCTAGAATGAAGCTGTAAGAGTTACCTGAAAATTCTTTTGCAAACGGCATAAAAACCCGACACGATCCAAGAGCGCAAGAAACAAACTGTGAATTTCGAACAAACGTTAAAAACCGCCGCTACAATGTTTACTTTCGTAAAAATAAAAATTCATTTCAATTATTGAATTAGTACTCGAGGAAATAATAATAACTTTTCTTCTGCACTTATCCTGCAGAATGTTTGCCCTAGAGACGAAAAAGATTTTCTTCTTAAATTCTACGTCTTTATTGCTTCGTCCATCCCCGAAAGTTGCACGAGTAGAAAACTTGCATCGATCGGGTCGATATAAATCGAGATCTAATCTTTCCGAAAAGCAAAGCATTTGAAATCTTGTGAGTTGCATGAGTTATTTATAAATACAGTAATACCCCGAACTTACGCGATAGGTGGGACCGAGCGATAACCGCGTAAGTCGGGGTATAATTTCCCAATTTGTGTAAAATCCAAGTTGGATGTATGTAAGATAATAAATGTTCTCATTAATCTTGAGATATCTCATCTTTTGATTCGTTCACGGTTACAAGAAATCACCACATAGAGTCTCTCGAGTCTCCGTAGATATAACAAACAGAAATAAATAACACAAAATAAATTGTAGCTATGTGTCGATTCTGCACGACACGTCCGAACATGTAAGCTGAACAATAGTGTGGGGGAAGTGAGTAATCGAGATTTNAAATACAATTTTATTTCAAAAAATATGTTTTTAAAGTTGAATTATTTTCATACAACCATATAATGTGTAATTGTTATATCTGTTATTTGTGATAATGTGATGTGTGGAAAGAACTATTAAGGAATTAATTACTTTCTAATGGTTCAAAAATGCATTATTATTAAGTAAAATTTATTAAAAATTTGATTGCTAAGAATACATGCTTATGAGAGATTATGAATGTACAATGTGATAACTTCTAAATGATTTACAGCCTGGTTTCTAACTTTTGTGAATAATTCATAAGTCAAGAAAATTTTATTACTAATAAAGCTATGTGATATATACTGAGGGTGAACAATGACATAATGAAGTAGATTCTATTTCAATTGTAAAAACGTTTTTATCATACATATATAAGACTAGATTTTGATTATTGTCATTGTTTTTAAGTTGATAGAAAGAAATGTAGCAACTTCATCTATTGAAATTTTCAGTCACATAATGAAGAAACTTTGAAAGTTAGAAGACAGTTAAAACATTTGGATTAATTATTCAAGCAATAAACAATAGATAAGGATGATTATATGATTGAAAGATTCATCTTTTACCAGTTATAATGATTGGAAATTTTGTGTGGCTTGTATTATTAGAATATAAATGTTGATTTTCCCTTAACTTCAAATTGTTGTTTAACACTATATATATTTTTCAAAATGAAGACTAATAATTTATACTGTAACCAGTTCATACACATTATGACTTCTGTATAAAAAATGAAAATATATTTTCAAGGTATTACAGCTGTAATTTTTCATAAATTTAGGATAAAATTCAAGATTAGGAATAATAATAAAATTGTGGGAAAAGAAGAAAATTTAGTTTATTTCATGCAAATCTTAATCACAACTGCATTTTATTGTTATATTTAGAAAATTGTAAATGATGTTATTAGTTTTACTATGAAATGTTGTGTAAAATCATGTACAAAGAAAATTAATAATGAATAAAATAATGCTTATTTTTAATATATTAAAATTTTCATCTTACTTGGGAAAGTCATTAAATATTAATTGTTTATAGTAATCTTGAAATAAAATTGTAGTTTAATTGAAATGACCTATTCTTTGTGTTCCTTTCAGGAATGCCACCTGCAACATCAGTGCCAGGAATACCAGGTCCATTTCCAGGTCCAGGTCCTGGTCCAATGCCTTTTCATCATCAGGGTCCTTTACTTCCTCCTCCAATGATGGGACAAGGTGGTCCTAGACCATTTTGAAAATAGTGCATCTTATGAATTACTCAGATAAGTTTTTAGACTTGTCATCTCTAAGCATCATGTGAATTCAGGTTTGTGATGATACCGGGTATAAGAACATAATGTAATGATAGAGAAAGAGGATGATTTCCAGAAAGTTAGTTTGATCTTTACAGACTCTTTCATGTTTTAAACAAAACAACAACTTTAAAAATATTTAAAGTAAAACATTTTTGATTTTTATAATAGAATGTAGTATTTAAATATGTATAAATATAAATTCCCAAAATGAGATAGTGAAGCATCTGTGAAACTGTCATTTCAAATTGGATAATGTCCACTATAGGAAACGTGGTAAGTGAAATTTTGCTTGTTTTAAAAATTTCACGGCCTTCGTGTGGCATTTAATTTATCTGTGTAACTTGGCAACATTGAGTTTGGTATTTCTTCAACTCTAATATGGCTTAATAAATTAATGTAGAACTTTGCTATAATAAGAGTGTTAAAAGATTAACCTCTCAAGTCATGTTGCAGATGTTTTATAAGGTAAGCAAATTCTCTTGATGTATAGTCATTGTCACCACATTTGAGGGTAATGTCATTCATATCATTGGGTACATGTACCATGATAAAAAAAAAAAAAATCTTGAATATAAAAAATCTTGTATTTCTTTGACATAAAACTCATTTTTACATAAGTTAATATTTTAACACTTATTCTTAATAAAATTATTTCTCAACATTGGCTTTATTCATTTTGTTTAAAAAGAAATGTAAAATAAGAAATACTTATTTCAATTGTATTAAAAAGAAATGTAATTGATTTTATTGGTTCATATTTTAAGTGATTTAACTAAACTTATATAATGAAACACTGAATAAAAGATTGAAAAAATATAAACATATATTTGTGATTAATTTGATAGTTTTTTTTTTCATTTTGTTAAAATAAAAGATCTATTATTAAAAATAAATAATATATGAAAGATGGAAAAACCATTAAGATGGTAAGTAAAGTTTTCAAAAAATATGTTAAAATTATTAAAATGGCCATTTGATTTTCATCTGGATAATCTTCAGGTTTGTGAAATAAAAATTAAATGGAAGATTTCATTTTAAATCTTTACGATGTGAAAATTTTTAAACAAAGTGCTAAACTATTTTGTTTGGGTGCGGGAACTTAATTTACCCAAATATTTTGTTAATAGATGCCACAAGGAAAGATCAGTGTGAAATCAAGGGCATGGAGAAATGAACGAAAACATGGCGAACCGACAGCAATAGGCAAGTGTCCTATTGAAATTTTGATATTATTCAGCATTTCGCAGCATCCATGCTGTTGGACACTCTGTCCCCAACCTCTTAATAGAGGTTTGGCGAAATGTGTTATATAACTATTGATAGTAATTAATGCAAATGAAAAAGAATTGCTTAGAATTTAAGATTAAATACATGAATTTTATTTATTCAAAGTTAAATTACAGATAAAGATTTTAGTAAATTAAAATTAATTACATTGTAAAAATAGCAAATATAAGTTGTTTGAAAATATAAAGTATTATATTTTCTATTTTTACTGTTTAGTATTTATATAGATGTATATATAACACACAATAAAATAATTAGTATTTTATGAAAAATTTATCAATATATGATAACTAACAATTCTTGTTATTTATTTAATACCGTAATTATAGTTATCTTCAGAAGTTAATGTATTAAACAGTCACACAATGATAAATTTTTAAATTGTTAGGAAATATTTGATTTATGAAATGTTATATTAATTTATATTTTTAGTATTATTATTGTAATTTTTATATCAATAAACTAAAAATATTACATTTCACTATTTTATTTCTTATAAACAAATTTTGAACACAATCAAAAATTATAATTTAGTGCAACATACCCTTTTCTACAGGGAGAGGAGGGAGTTAATTGCTCCATGTCAGGAGGACTCCTCATCCCTTAAATTGCAAGTGGGTGGCATTTTTTTGTTTTTTAAAACTCATATTAAATTTAATTTAATTTCACAGCATCCACACGATGTTGTTGGACTGTTCCAGTCCCCAACTTCCTTATGGAAGTTTGGCGAAATATTAGTCTTTTAATTGTATCCTGGTTTAATTTTTATTTTATTTAATAGTTTAACTATAAATTTTGAAAGTGTAATGTTGATTTTTAAGCTTATAGTAAAGAGTAATGAGTGAATGAATGCATGTTTCTATCCTGCATGATATCAGATGACAATTTCTTTTTATTGTGATCATGATTTCTTTTTATTATTCACTAAATAATTATAGTTCTACAAATCTGTTATGGGATGTATCAACTTCCAGAATCATATTGAAAGAAAATGTTAATGGATCTAATTTTGAGTACAGAAAGACAGGTTGGTCACCAAATAAGTGATTCACTATATATCATTTCAGATTTTTTAATTACATTTAAAATTTACATTATCTAATACTAAAATGGCTTAACATAATTTGTTACAATCATTTTATATATGTGGCATAAAGCAACTTAAAATCTTAATTTTTTACTTTTTTCTTGTTTTAAAAACATGTAAAAATTGATTTTATTTGAAAATATTAAAGCCACAAAATAATAATGTCATCTAAAAGAGAAGATTAATAAAAATGTAAATTTTTAATAGTTATATGATGCTGATTAATGTGTAAATAAGTTTTGGAAAATTATTGGAATTTATTTTAAATAAAGTTAAGAAAAATATTTATTTTCATATGTTGTTTTAATTATAATAATACAAAGGAACAGAATGAACTATATTAGAAGCTTAGTCTCTTTCCAATTATGTTATTTGACATTGGTTTCCATAAAAAAGAGTAGAGAATGTTGGAGGGTTTTTTTTTTAATTTTTACTATAAATAAGCAAAAATATAAGTTCTAATTTTCTTCACATTTTTTAATGCAATTGAATGCTTGAAATTATTTGTTCAAAGTACAGTATTATTTAAATTTTAAAATATTTAAGACTTTTAAATGTAAATCATATTTTCTATAAACATTTAAAAAGTTACCACCACATTATATTTCATTGTCAAATAATCAAAATAATTTGTAGTAAAAAATTATTATTTCTATAAAAGTAATAAAATTTGAAATATTAGTCTATAAACACTGAAAAGTATATTAAAAAATAGAATGATTATTTCAAAATTTGCGTCTGTTCAGAATTTGAAAAAATTAAAATGTATTTCTTAATAATTCTGAAAATTAAATTCAAAACAATATGATCATTTGTATCATTTGTAAAGAACTTTTAATATAAAATATAAATCATAATTTCATTTATT